GTTGAGATGTCACCACTCAAGCAAAAGCGCGCGTGTGTATGAAGGCACTCTACGGATAACTCGACTACAGCGCCGCCACGACCTGTCAATACACGCGCCCTCATGAGCTCCCGTTGCCGAGCCGCTCCGGTCCCAACACTACCCAAGTATTCTAGTACACTGTAGTTCTGCCACGGGGAAAGGTAGCGCTCTCGTGACGCGCGCTCTAATGACACGCGCTCTCGTGTCGCGGCGCTTTCTTGTCGCGCGCTCTGCCGTCGGCGCTCTCGTGTCGTGCGCTCTCGTGGCGCCCTCCCACTTTGAGGAAGGTGCAGACGACAACGGACAGTGACGCGCACGACCACATCTCACGTCAGGCCCCACGTGCTCAAGCGGCCTTCATACATCCTTTGTGTGTTTTATCATCTCGTCCTGTCTGGTCACTGTGCTATACACTAACACCAGGATCAAAGTCTGTGGACTAGAATTTTAGACATCATCAAAGTGAGATCCAGCTAAGACGCGAATTCTTCGCGAGTACCGCGTCGGCGTTCAGCTGTGCCAATCAACGCGTCGAAGGTCGCCGGGCATCGGGTCTTGGGTCCAACAGCCGAGTTGGCGCCATTCGACTGTGATGACGTTCCGTGGAGCAAGATGAGTATGTTCGCAGGCCTTGATTGCGCTAGGTGGCGTTGGCTACGCCGGAAGTCCCAACCCACGGAAGAGCGATCGAAGCCTTATCTGCAGCTGTTCCCCTTCCATATTAGCGACGTGGGTGAATGCCTCAGCCATCGGTATACGATCCAATGGAGCCAATCAATCAACCAATCAATCAATCAATCAATCAATCAATTGTCTTTGTACGATCTTTGTGATCGGTCTAGCCGGGGAATGCAAACGCACAAAGACGACGAGCGCCATGACGATGCACTTTTGGCGCTGATTGATTGATTGATTCGATATCCGATCGTAGCGGAAAGAATCACCGCGGGGAAACAACAATGTGCAAACAAGAGTGCATTTGTGAAGCCTTCACTGTGGGGATTCTCTAGTCGAGGCTAATGTTTGACGAGGCTGGCTCGTTGCCCCTGTGCAGGCCAACGTCGAAGACCTGACCTTCCAGCAGAACCTTTCGGTGTGGGCTGCCTCACGAAAGCTGAAGGACGACCGCTGGCTCCGTGACCTGGGCCACCAGTTCCAGGACACCGTCGTGGACTGTTCTTACGCTGACCAAGACTGCAAACACATGACGTGCGAACATACGAGCTTTCTGGAGTTCCTTTCGGATATACTAGGGGCACTGAATATTCAGGGACAAATGGGGTTTACCGAAGAGACAAACAGTTTTAAAGCAATTTCGTTTTTTTCTTTTCTTTTTAACCGGGCCTTAACCAGTGTTGCAGAATGCCCCCCCCCCCCCCCCCCCCACACACACACACACACATTTCATTCTATACTCCATTCCAGGAAATTAAAGTCTCCTAAAATTTCACTCATTTCAACACCTAGGAATGGAGAAACTGGTTCCATTTTCCCTCCTGGATTGGCTAAACTCCACCGTTGAATTCCTCTAGTTCCCAAACGTGACGGAATGACTCTTGACAGCCATATTGTGTTGCCAGAAAGTGCAGCATGAAGTTAACGTTATCACGAGCAGAGACCACTGCAAAAGTATACAAAATGCTTCCCTAAACCAACCCATTCTATACTAAGCAGAGAGGTGGTCTCACAAAACGCTTCGTGGCACTTGGTGTCCCTGCAGACATCGATCGCGCGATCAAGTGTTAAAGTCTCGCAAACAAAGCTCCAGAAATTAAAACCGCCCATTTTTATTTTACAAAAGGACCGTAAACCCTTCACAGATAATTGGTCAGCATGTTGTTTGTACGACAAAGACCTTAAAAATGTCTAGTTTGTGCGTGGCCCAAAAAGAAGCTACGTTGTTTTCTGCTTCGAATACCTGCATAATAGCACTGCTAGTACGATCTCGGAAGCGACGCCGCGAATACCTGCTCTATATTTCTATGCATTGCTGCAAGCACACGAAACCGCTGACAAAGTGCGATCGCTAAGGTGCCAGCACGAGGGACTGTAGGACCGACGCATAGGGTCTGCCTTAAAACGTATACTTTTACGTTTGCTGTATGATTCTCGCGATTCATGACCAAATTCGATCCAATTATTTTTTTTTTTTTTGCGCGAACGTTAGAAGATTTGCTGGGTTAAAAGTTACATAAGTAATCGCGCATGGTTACAACAGCAGCTGTGTCACGTCTCACGGTGCCGTTGACAACTTTTCAGTTTTGGTTACGAAAACTGAATCTTATTCCTGGTACTATAGGATCATTGGGGATTTTTTTTAATAATGTACGCAATATTATCGCACGCTAGCGCTATTTAAGGATAGCGCACGCTACGCGAGAGTTTTAGAATTGCGTTTCTCCTCCGCGCGATGCAAAAGCCGAAGCATCTGGCGCTTGGAACGCCACCAAGATATATAGTCGCAATTTGTATTTCACGCATAAAATGATGTAACCTAAAGAAAAAAAGTTTAATTGAGAGTAACATTTTAGATTTGTTCATATATAAGAATGCGACGGGGAGCGTTCGACCGGCCGTGTCCGCTTGCGTCGCCTCGGCAAAATGGGTCTCGTGTACTGTACTGACCTTCGCCCATCCGTTCGCCGCACTGTACCTTCGCCGAGAAATGCTCGCGCGTCGCAAGCATCGAGTTGCCAGTGATCATTGCCCACCATACTGGGTCTCCCATGCCGAGTGCAATGTCGTCCGGCGTTGAAAATCACAGTGGAGAGGATGAAGGCCGACGTCGCGCTTACGCCGCCGCCAAAGCCGTTGGTCAAACCGGCCGCAGCCGCGGTCCGGGGAGCCGCCAGTTTTTAACTGTGCTCGTCTTGGCTTTAGCCAACTTCTCATCACGAATCCTCCTTAGAGGAGCGCAAGGACTTTTTGCGTACGCACGCAATTTCCGAAAAATAGCGCACGCTACGACAGCGTACGCAAAGCGCAAACCGTAGAAAGCGTTGTACGCATGCGCGGTAACGACGACGCTGCATTTTGCGTACGCAAAGCCTATGCGTACGCTATTCCAAAACTTTCTATTCTGTATTTAGGGGGGGGGGGGGGGGGGGGGGTCATCATTGAAGAGAAATTGGGAAGTCACATCATGGTCCGTTTCATCTCACCCCAGCCATGTCCGCGTCGCCGTCTCGCAGGTATTTCCAGGAAAGCTTCGACTCCCGACACGGCACCTGTCTCTGTTTCCACTGCAATAAGAGCGAGATGGACTTCTTCTCGTACGGCTCTCTCGCTTCGCCCCAGAACGGTAGGCGATGGCAAACACTCTTCATCGGAGACTTACAGATCGTTTCCGCAACTGCGCTACGCTACCCTACTCTTGTACAGGTTACTCTAAAAAAATATTAATCGATTACAATTACAATCACTCTTAATCGAGAATTTTCTAATTAAATTAATTGATTACTTGCGAAAAAAGTAATTGGATATTACTTAGAAACGCGAGCATTACTTTTCCGATTATTTCAGATTTTCATAACGACATATCTTCCTGTCGGTTTGGAAACAGGCTTTTCGTGTTCTCCGTCATTGGATCAGAATCACTGGTAAATCACCATTCTGTCGAAGACTTTGTTCAAAGATTCCTTGGCAGAAAACTTGCACAAAGGGAGCCATGACAGAAGAGGACGGATAGTGATGATTACGAGTAATTCTAATACTTTAAAAAAATACTAAAATCACTCTTGCGGTTACTTCGCAATAAATTTATTAAAATGATTTCATAATCACTCTAAAAAGTAATCGATTACGAGTGATTTGAATTGCCTGCAGCCTGCAGCTAGCGTTGTATTTGCGGAATTGCGGCGTTGTGTTTGCGGAACGTGCTAAAACGCCTCCGAGATGGCTCCGACTTCATTGAACATTTCTTGATGGGATCAGTGGATGGGCCAGAACGCTACTTGCTTCGCTTCATTTTTGGTGAACAAGGCGAGCAGACAACGGCACGAGACGAGCTGCACAAGCCACAACAAGAACACACACAAAAAAAGGCTTGTTTAGAGTTGGCTTTGTTTTCAAGATTTCGACTTAGCAACGAATTATTGTAAGCCAAATAAGTTGTTTTAACGAATTATTGCGTACTGACCTTTGCACCGTGATCGATATTACTTGTACAGTAATTTATGCCCCGAGTTAACGTCGGTGGAGTAGTCAGGAATTCAAAGTGTCCGTAGGCTCCCACAGCCTGGTGATACCAGCAGGTGGCATCCCCGGAATGACTAGTGCAGCGAATGTGCGACTAGATTCGGAGAAGGCATTTCTGAGCGAGCGTGTTGACCGCAGTGCTTTGGAGACCACCGTTCTTTGCAAAACTCACGCTGAAACGTCAAGGGATGGGTGTGCAGTACATGCCTATGAGTTACATAGAATTACTTAAATAGGATTACTTTATAGATTACCGAACTCTATATTAATAGAATCAATATAAAGTTCGATACGTTGGGACTGGGTTCATATATGCGCTCTCATATATGACGCCCAATGAATACCTCCTATGGTCACTGAGAGTTAGAATGGCAGGACCTGTATTTAGAATCCCCAATCTCCAACACGTGCTCCGTGCCTTCCGCCGTGCTTTGGTTGTGCGCGCGGGCTCAAGATGCACGAAACGCCGAAGCATGGTCGAAAGTCGGTAGCAGCATTGTCGGAAGTCGGAAGCTCGCTCTGGAGGCGGGACAACGAAAGCTCCTCACTGCCGTTCTCGCCTTAGTTACTGAGATTTCCATTGGGACATTACGCGCCGAAAGGTAACTTGAAGGATCCAAGGTTTTGTTCACCAAGGACAAAAGGCGGCCTAAATATTTTTAAGCTGCTTTACGCGCGGCTGTCTTCGGGGTTTGGGTATCGAACCATCCTTTCCGCGCATCCCGGCAGGTCTGGTGATTACGCTGAATGCCCAGCTGGACGAGTACCTGCCTACATCCTACCAGGCCGGGTTCCTGGTCATGATCCACTCGCACGGCACCAGGTACGTGCTTTATTATTATCAAAACACTTCCGCCCAAAAATAAAAAATAAAAAATAAACGTTGCTCCGTTGAGTGCGCTTCCTACAACACACCTGTGTTTGCGGAGAAGCGACATTCGCAGAGCGGACAGGCTGCTGGCGGCAAGATTATGAATGATCGCAGGATAAGCGCTGTCATAGCGCTGAAGCCGCGATGTGCTTCGTAGAATGAAGACATCTTAATTTTATGTTTCCCCTGTGATATGACTTTTCGATAAAGGAAAGTAATGCGCTATTGTCACAGCACTCTTTTTGTGTGTGTGTGTGTGTGTGTGTGTGTGTGTTTTAGGCACAGCTGGACAGCGAACAAAGCATTAGAAAATTAATCTGTGTGTCGTTGCACAGATACTGCCTGGGAGGCTGGTCTGAAACAGTAAAGCACAGAAAGGATTCGTTCTTCCACAAACCAATGCTCCAAGCTCAGGGGGCGTTATTGGCCACCGATGATCACTGCATTATATGCGTGACTTATAAACGCCACATATCAGGTGCCATTCTGGTGGTATGGCTGTCGAGCGCATACCTTCCGCATCGCACAGTCATAGCCACAAAATATTTTGTTTTCTCGGCAAGAGAAAGCAGAAATAACCACAAGCATGACGCGATGATGTCACCTACAAGCCACATATGCGGAAAACGTCCAAGTGGCGTTGTCTCTCAACGCAAGAACCGATTCTTTCCAACTTTACCACACCGAGATCCAAACAACGTCCCGGTTATTTTGCACTGTCGAACGCAGACAATAATGTATACATGCGCTGCGAGATACTTCTACATATAACGCTCCAAAAATACAACTTTGGCTGCCTCGGTGGGTGCTCTAGAAAGAGTCGGACTATACTCCGTTTCAGCACAGAGGAAGCTGCAGCCCCACTCCTCCTGTGGCGAGTTGCCGCGTGATTCGTGCCGTCACTCTCATTGTCTCCCACGGGCCGCCACTTTCTTCCTTTGACACGTTATAAGTGCAAAAATAGGGTGTAATCGAATCGTTGCAAATACGTGCAACGAAATTGTAATTTTTGCGAAATAAACGGGAGCAAAAGGCGCCTAAAACTACTGTAAGAGAATACACGAAATAAAGTACAGATACGCAAACACCAATGGCGATTCAGTCATTCGCTTTATTAATGCACCTTTTTTTTTTCAGCGATCTTTGGAACAATTTTTTAGAAGATTAGAAATTTGATTTACAGTAAATAGCGTCGTTTTAACGACTGCGTTAATGAGCGTTTCTCAACCTCGCCACTTCGATGATATCTCCAGGACCACGTGTCAATGCAGATAAATCAGTTGATACACTAGAGCCGACGTCACAATGCTCGCAGATCATACGGTGTTTGCTGCAGAGACATGATGGTAGGATTGTCTGCGAACTCGCTTCACGCATGTTCGAAGCATACTTGCTTCGGGCTTTCTGTTCTAAAAACAAACGTGTGTCACCAGCCCTGAAAAATGAACGAGCGTAGTGAATTTGGTAGTGTGTGTAGCCTTTAAAATAGCCAGCAGCCTATCCTACCTGTAACTTACATAATTTCATTCGTGTGTGTGTTGTGTGTGTGTTTTTCACCCTTTTCCCGACTTTATTTACCGAACTCTCAAGCTGTCTTTTGTGACTGCAACTCCTCAGTTGTTTTCGCTTCTGTCTCCTGTTTTCTCCTCTCTTAATCCTCGTATTTTCGCGCTGTTTTCTTTAATGCATATACCAATTATCCCAACTGTCCATTCTAGTATGCAACTCTTTAATTGGCGCTAGAAAGTTGAGAGCGGGAATGCGTCGAACGCCAGCCAAGGAAACGAGGCTGCGATGATGCGCTCACAGTGGCGTCTCCCGTTTAGGTACTCCGTGTGCAGCGACGGGGTCTACATTACACCCGGCCGGGCGACCTACGTCGGCCTTAATGTGGTAAGCTCATGGACAAGCGTTCGTTTTTCTTCTACACGCGTATATTGGGTTCTTTTAGTTGTGAACTCATATCGTATATTGTATGGGAACTTTTACACCCATACCTATCGCATAGCCCCTGTTAGGGATGAACGGTGTTCGTAAATCAATAATAAAATATTACCACCTGTGCGTCTGGTTCCGAAGTGGGAACGAATGACGTCACAGGAGCCGGTGTGTCGTGCTGCCGGATTTCGGGATCCACGCGGTTGGTCGTATAGTACAGTAGACGCGTTCCCGGCTAAAAGTACCAGCGAACGCTAGTGTCGATGTACTTCCCCTGCGTCTCCTAACTTCTCGTTTGCCGAAGTGATTCCGTGAACTGTCAAGCCTTATAGCGACATCGCAGCCAGAACAGGAGGTTTGCTGCATCCAACTCCGCCGCTTTGCCACCGCCAGGTTCGCGGCAGGTAACAACATTATACAGAGTGTCTCAAATAGCGGCCAGGCTCTTTAAATCGACCGCAAAAATTAGTTTCTTAAGCTATCGCGCTACACTTTTCTGCAGCGTTGCCCACAGGCGGTGCATTTTTTATATAAAATTTGCAGAACGCAAACTTACCTGGGCAAAAAGTAAAAAAAAAAAAGACTTAACTCCTATGGAAAGGCAGCGAAGCCACCGGTTTTAAAACAATATGGCGGCGTTTGCCACGGGAGAAGAGATGGTGCAAGCGGTCGCGACGCCAACTGCCGCCAACAAACGAGCATACGGCGCCGAGAGCCGGCGTCTTTAGCAGGCGATCTTTTTGACTCCCCCCCCCCCCCTCCCCCCCCCCCCCCCCGCATCACAGTCAGATCGATCGAGGAGTGAGATTGGGCATGAGTGATGAGTCAGTGTTTGGCTGGGGCTTGTGTCCAATCAGGGCGTCGAAGGTCGGGCTCGGGTCCAATAGCCGAGTTAGCGCGATCCGACTCTGATGACGCTTCATAGAGGTAGAGGAGACCATGCGGAGGCTTTCATTATTCTAGCTGATGTTGCCCGTAGCCGTGGTCCATCGATACACCAACGGGCTGCCCACTTCGGGCGCTGGCAACGCGCGTGCACAGAAACTAGATTCGCGTGAGACGAAGCGTCTGCGGCATGTGCACTGCCGACGGCATGTATGGAGCGTTCCAAAAATCGCCTTCTGCGAGCAGCCACCGTCAAATGCCTTTTGAGGGTGCGCATGTAGCTCAGCCGTTCGGAATATCGGGCAACGCGCATGCGCTCACAGCTCGACGAGTGGGCAGTCTTCGCCTGCGTTTTAAGCGCCGGGCAGGTGTAGGCTTCGTTTCATCGTAAGTCAGTGCGCGATCGAACGCCCGAGCACATGTGCACACAGACGAACGTGGTAAAAGCGTTACTTAGATGGCATTCACTGTGCTTGATGATATGGAACACACTTAAAAAAGGTAACGAACATCGTGATGTTGCTCTTTGAACTCTGTTTGTTTGGTCCTATCGTCTCGTAGCTCATACTTCACCTGCACCAAGGTATAGGGTAAGACGAAGTATTTATCTTTCCACGTACACTAATATTATTTTGGGAGGGGGGAGGGGGTGGGGAAGTTCTAGCAATTACTTTACTATACTTCGTTTTAGCTTGCAGCTGACGCTACGAGGTAATGCAACCTATCAAGCAGCTTCAAAAGCGCGCGTCTTTTCTGTTTATGGTTGGTTAGGCGATATGCTAGAACACAGCTGCACGACGAAGACCATGATGGTTCGCTTTTGACGCCGTCTGGTTGGTCTCATCAGCTCGTAGCGTCGGCTTCATCTGGACTTAAGGCGAAACGAAGCATAGGGAATACATCTGAAGGGCTGTCCAAACAGGACTCTTCAGAAATCGTAAAGGCCCTGTCACACTGAGGCAACGCCACGGCAACAGCAACGCAACACGTTGTCCAACGCTCGGGCAACTTTGTTGCTCGCGCCCCGTGTTGTCTGACAGACCTGTCATATCGGGGCAACAGCAGCACAACACGGACGACAACGAAAATGTTGCCTCGGTATGACAGCTTTCGGCAACAAAAACAGCCAACTTGTGTTGGACAACATGTGTTGCCCTGATCACTGGCTGAGCGAATTTCGAGCCAGCAACGCGACAACACAGACAGCTTTGATGGCAGAGCTACTTCCTTATCAATAACGTACGTCTTACTCAAATAAAGGCTTGGAAACCGTTATTTAACAGTAATTAAGGTTGGTGTGCAGCTAAAATAATTTGAGGAATGTTTTTACTGCGTAATTATGGAAAGCGATTGTCGAAATGGTCACAGCTACGGTTGTGAGCGTTCAGACTGCCGTTGAAAGAAGAACTACCGAGAGACCAGCTTACATTAATGCTAGTGAAATAAAATGGCATGCCTACTCACCCGCCGATAAAGTATAATAAAACTTAATCCAGGAAAACACAGATTAAAAATTCGAAGCATTAAACGACCACTCTGATCATGATTGTTAATGATGATTGTTGATTCTAGGAACTTGGAAACAGCCGCTACCAGACATCTTGCTTGTTTGAATAATACCCGTAACGTTTTGGGGAATGGAGCGATCACAAAGCTGGCGGTAGGCAAAAAGACAGCGTTGAAAAATGTTTATTCCACCGATTGTTACAAAGGCCGATCGTGTCGGTGTCGCAGTTTTTAAGCACTGTCAGTTCAGCTCCACACCACGCTACAAAAGACGCTTTGGGGTACTGCCGCTGCTAACTCAATTTTACAGTAGACATAGGAATTGCATGAAAGAAAGAACCGGACAGGAACATTTCAGACGGTGGCGCAAAATCCCGAACATATATCAGCGATCTTACTTTCCCCGGGGCGATATGCTATGTCAGCGGATGAAGAACATTTGAGGAAATAAAGGGTGAGAAATAATTCCCGTTTCAAGTTTTCTAACCACAGACACTGGTTGATGTCGTCCCGTGATGATTTCCGGCCCTCTGAACGCTCCTGCACTTTGTAGAGTCACATTTCTAGCGACGCCGCGCCTCACACGAACGAAGGTAAACAATCAACATGGCGGAGTGTTCCCCGTGTTGGCACCGGCCCCGCCGTCAGCGCGGTGTAACAGGGTTGTCGGACAACAAACCGGTCAACACGGTTGCCGGGCGGCAGCAACATGTCGGGTGACTGTTGTTGTTGCCGCGATGTGACAAGGTCGCCGTCAACACGATTTCTTCGTGTTGCCGGATAGAGTTGTCCAACTGTTGTCTCAGTGTGACAAGGCCCTAAGGCGACACAATAGTGTCACATGAAGTGAAAGTTGAATTCCGGCAGTCCGTCTTCTTGATTGGACATTCACCAGGCAAACATCACGACTTCTCTCGTCACCTCCTCCCCTTTTCGGTGACCTCGGTGCTCGCCAGACTTGACGCCAGACGCCACCTGTCAATTACGCGACTGTTGCTTGTCCATTTGTTCTGCCGCGCCCAAGTATCCTTCCCTTTCCGGTTTTCGGGACTTGGAACAGCAGTGGAGGCCTTGAGCGATTGATCGACAGCCAAGCGCGTGTGAGTGGCTGTCCGGACCCACATGATGAGCGTGCTCAATGCCCCCACGAAGGACACAAGCGAACTTTGATGGAAAAAACTATTCCCCCGCAGCAAAAAATAAAAAAAAATAAAACCGGACGGAAGCGGGTTGCCGCACGACATATGACGGAGGCGGAGTTGTGTCGCCTCACGATTTCTGCAGTGTCCTATTTATACACCCCTTTACTACGCGGAAATCCAATGCCCCTGAAACCGACAGCTTTTGCGTAGTTGGCATGGCTGGACGCACTCAGCATCGGGTCTGTCGCCTTTAAATTAGGACGGGTGGCTGCCACCATCTATCGTCGTGGAAACCCCCGAGACAGCGGAGACAGTCGTCTCTGCTGTCTCGGCGAATCCGGTATCTCGACGCGTCGGCGGCAGCTCTCTTTCTCTCTCAGCGCATGCGTTCTGTCAAACGTGAAGTTTCCAATCCACTAGGAGAGGATTTGGTACTGTATAACGCGCCGTCCAGTGCAAATGAGCGGAGTAGAATGTGTTTTCATAGTAAAGTGTTTGGTGTTAGGATCCTTCTAGAGGGAAGCGACAGGGGCATGTTCTCGCGGAAACGCAGCCTTTTTTTTTTTAAGGGGAAACAGGGGTAGGGAGAAACTCACTGAGTGACCGTTTCTCAGATTGCACAGACAGGACTGCCGGCGCCGTACGCCAACCCCTGCAGGCGGGACTGGCCTTCGACGCTGCTACCCCACCTGACCTCGGACAGCATCAGCTACACCAGGGAGGTTCGTGCACTATAGTTTACTTCAGCCAATAACATCGCACTCGTCGCTCGACGTATTTAGGCATATTTAGGGGCAGGGATTCGAGGTCGGTACCCATTTGGCTCACACCGACACGGGAGTGTGGAAATTGGCCTTCAATCGGCGCGCGGCGCTCAACATACCATGTGTACATATTACCCAACGAAAACCAGAACCATGGAACGCACTAAAATATTTTACATCCCGAAGGGTGCAAATCAGCTTATCTTAGGGCTAACACGCTAAGGGTGTTACAGTAACACCCTGAGGGTGCCGGTGGACCCTCTGAAAATATGACGCTGGCCATCTCAGCATCCTGGGGATATACATATATATATATATATATATATATATATATTTATTTATTTTTTTTCTTTCTTACGAGCAAAAAGATTTAACAAGCAACAAGCACTGCGTGCAGTTTTCACTCGCACTGCAGAGGCAGCATATGCAAACGTAATGAACCAGGCACGAGAGGGACACATGAGTCTGCACCGCTGCACCCTCTTGTATGCTCAACAATCCAATGGCATCGATGAGTAGGTGATCGTGTACACAATTATGAGTGTTTTCAAGTACGTCTCTTTGTTCTCGTCAATATTTCACGTAAATTATAGTGTATCTATATAAGTTCAAGGAATGCATCTAAAAGTAAAAAGCTTTGGTATACAAATAGTAATCATTCGACGTCACTAAAGAAGCCTCCGCTCAAGGCCTGTTTCTACTCCGTCGTAACGTCGACGAGCGCACGCGCCCGATCGCGTTCGCCCGCGTTGGCTGCGCAACGCGACGTAGCGCAGCGTAGCCCAGCGCGCGTCGGCGTAGCTCACGACGGAATCGATCATTCTCTATTCGCGTCGTCGAGGAGCCCAGACCGACGACGGTGACCATCCCAGAATCCCTCGCGCGAGTGCCCCATTCGGCAATCCAAATGTCGGGGGCGAGTCGGATTGTGTGTGTGACGCTCATTTCTGCGACCTGAACCTACCGTTCTAACCGTGTGTCGTGTGCTGTTCTCGTGTTCCCGTGTTGGTGCGCATATTTAACGTTCGTGAGCTCGACTGGGCAAGTGTGTGCGTGGACGTGGGCTGCTCCGAGGATGCGCTATACCCCCGAAGCTCGTTAGGTTATATACACCTAACGAGCCGGTGGTGGTGGGGTGCGGCAAAAGCTTGAAGCTTGACGACGCGCCAAAGGTAGAGTTAATTAGAATTGAGGATGACTTAATCTATGTGCTATATATGATAATGTGCTAGTCGTACGTGGCGGCAGCCGTTCCCGATCGAAACAAAGCGCTGTCGAATGTACGGTTGCAAACGAATCCTGTATCGTTTGCGTGGGCCCTGTAAAGTGGGCAACGATTTCGCACGCGTACACTGCAGGTTAGGCATCGTCCGCTTGTAACAAGTTAGTGGCGCCCCCCTCCAGTCCGCCCGTCTGCGGCCGCCTGGCTCGGCGGGCAACATTGTTCATCGCACGAATAAACGCCGTTGAGCGCACGCGCTCCGGTCAGTCATCGTCCACCCTCAACCAGGCTGCGTGTCGTCTCTCCTCGGCGGGTGCTTCGGCCCCCTTCGTCCACGTTCCAGAAAGATCGTGACACTGGCGACGAGGAACCGTGGCACTGGAGGCTACCAACGTGCACGGTTCGGCCCACGCCGCCGAGAGAGTCGCAACACCGCCGCCCGCTCCTGTCGCCATGCCGCTCTACGGGAGGCTCGAGCCGTTCGAGGGAGATGGGTCCGCCTGGCCGGTCTACGAAGAACAGGTCCACGTGTTCTTCCGGGCGAACGACACGCCCGAGGCGAAACAACGGGACATCTTCCTGGCCAGCTGCGGGACCTGAGTCTTCAGCCTCCTTCTCGACCTCCTCAAGCCGGCCACGCCGCACGTCAAATCGCTGGGTGAGCTGCTCGCCACGCTGCGCTCGCACTTCAGCCCGGCGCCGTCCACGCTTATGGAGCGGTTCCGCTTCAACAACCGGAGCCGCCAGGACGGGGAGACCCTCGGGCAGTTCGTCGCTGCGCTACGAGGGTTAGCGAGCACCTGCGCCTTCGGCGACCAGTTGGACTCGCTACTCCGGGACCGGTTCGTCTGCGGCATCAACAACCCTGCCATGCAGACGCGACTCCTGGAGCTCCTCTCCTGGAGCTCCCCGCTGGACGACGCGGTGAAGGCAGCGCTGGCGATGGAAGCAGCAGCGAAGGACGCCAGCGAGATAGCGCGTGCGGCCGGCTCACCGTCGACGGAAGCGGCGGTGCACAAGATGGCGACAAGGAGCGGTGCTTGCAGCCGCTGCGGTGCTGCCCACTCCCCCTCACAGTGCCAGTTCGTCCACGCACAATGTTTCACGTGCGGGAGAACTGGGCACCTCGCACGTGTCTGCCGAGGGGGGAGGACGAGCGGCGGCCAGCAGCAGCAGCAGCAGCCTGGTTCAAGCCCGGGTTCCAGCCAAGCCCGCGGCCAGGGTGGTCGTCGCAAAAGAACGCGGCGGGGACGAGCGGCACCAGGCCCGGGTTCGTCTTCAGCCAGGGTCCACGTCGTGGCCGAGGACCCGCAGATTTTCGACGTGTGGCACACCAGGGGAATTTCATCGTCTGTGCCACCATACATGGTGTCTGTCGAAATCTGCGGCCACCCCATCACCATGGAGCTGGACACAGGGGCCAGCGTGTCGGTCATGCCCGGGAAGCTGTTCAAGCGGACCTTCCCCAACGTGTCTATCGAGGCGTCTGACGTCATGCTGCGCAGCTACTCCGGGCAGCTTTCCCAGGTCCAGGGTCGGGCCCAAGTCAGCGTTCGCCTTGGCGACAGGGAGGCAATCCTTCCCCTTTACTTAACCAAGGGGTCGTCGCCGACGCTGCTGGGCCGGAACTGGATTCACTCGCTGGGTGTTCGGCTGCCGGAGTACCAAGAAGCTGCGCTGCACGTGGTGAAGGACGTCCCAAGCCTCCTGACCGACTTCCAGTCCCTGTTCCAGCCAGGGGTGGGCACCTTCGCCGGCACGACTGTCGGCATCCACGTACCCGAGGGAGCCCGGCCTCGGTTCTTCAAGCCGCGCCCGCTGCCGTTTGCCCTGAAGGACGGGGTCACCCAGGAGCTGCAACGGCTGCAGCGAGAGGGTATCCTGGTGCCCGTCAAGACTTCCGAGTGGGCTGCACCAATTGTCCCAGTCCTCAAGCGAGACGGCCGCGTCAGGATCTGCGGGGACTTCAAGGTCACCATCAACCCCGTTGCTACCGTCGAAAAGTACCCGCTGCCTCGGGTAGAAGATCTCTGGTCGGCTCTGTCCGGGGGACAGAAGTTCACCAAGCTCGACCTTCGAGATGCCTACCAGCAGCTGGTGCTCCAGGATGCCGCCCGGAAGTATGTCACCATTTCAACAACCATGGGACTCTTCCAGTACACGCGCCTACCGTTCGGCGTGGCCTCAGCCCCAGCCATCTTCCAGAGAGAGATGGACAACCTCTTCAGGGGCATGAGGCACGTGGCGGTGTACTTGGACGACATCCTGGTTACCGGTACCGACGACGGGGACCACCTGCAGAACCTGCGCAAGGTCCTGGCACGATTGCAGGACGCCGGTCTCAAGCTGAGGCTGGACAAGTGCGTGTTCCTGACCCCCAGCGTGGAGTACCTGGGACACATCATCTCCCAGGCTGGCCTGGCCCCGGCACCCCGCAAGATTGAGGCCGTGCTCAAGGCGCCGAAGCCCAAGAGCAAGAAGGAGCTTCAGAGCTACCTCGGCCTCATCAACTTCTACAGGAGGTTCCTGCCCAACCTTTCGACGCATCTGGAGCCGCTGCATCGACTGCTTCGTGACGGTCAGCAGTGGGCCTGGAAGAAGGAGCAGGACTTGGCCTTCCAGCACAGCAAGGAGCTGGTCATTAAGGCTCCAGTGCTGGTGCACTTCGACCCGGCCAAGCCTGTAGTCCTCACCGTGGATGCGTCGCCGTACGGGGTAGGAGCCGTCCTGTCGCACCGGGGTCAGGATGGTCAGGAACGCCCTGTGGCGTTTGCTTCTCGTCGGCTTCATGCGGCGGAGCAACGCTACAGCCAGCTCGACAAAGAAGGCTTGGCCCTCATCTTCGGGGTCCAGCGCTTCCATCAGTACCTGTGGGGCCGGCAGTTCGAGGCAGTCACGGACCACAAGCCGCTGCTGGGGCTGCTGGGACCTGACAAGGCGGTCCCAGTGCAAGCCTCGCCTCGTGTGGTACGCTGGGCCTTGACGCTGGCAGCCTACAGGTACAAGCTGGTCTACCGCCCTGGGAAGGACCTGGGACCTGCCGACGCCCTGAGCCGCCTGCCCCTGCCGGAGGCGCCTGCTGCCGTTCCAGAGCCAGCTGACGTTTTCCTGCTGGAGCGGGCCTACCCGGGGGTACTGACCAGGACTGCGGTGGCGCAGGCGACCAGCCGGGACCCAGTCCTGTCTCAGGTGGTCAAGGCGGTTTCCCGAGGGGAGGAGCTGCGTCACCAGGCATACAGCCACAAGACCGCCGAGCTGAGCTTGGAGCAAGGCTGCCTCCTGTGGGGTTCCAGGGTGGTGATTCCACAAAGTCTGCGGGCCAAGGTGCTGCAGCTGCTGCACGCGGGGCATCCTGGCATTGAAAAGACAAAGATGGTGGCACGGTCGCACGTTTGGTGGCCTGGCTTGGACCAGGACATCGTGCACCAGGTGCAAGGCTGCCAGGTCTGCCAGGAGAACCAGCGAGCCTCGCGCCACGTGGAGATCACCCCCTGGCCGTTCCCACAGAGGCCGTGGTCCCGCTTGCACGTGGACTATGCGGGACCCTTCAAGGGCCACTACTTCCTGGTTGTAGTGGACGCCTTCTCCAAGTGGGTGGAGGCACTGCCAGTCACCAGTCCCTCGGCAAGCGCGACCATTGCGGCTCTGCGGCAGGTCTTCGCGGCGCAGGGATCGCCGGACATTATCGTGTCTGATAATGGTCCCGCTTTCGCCAGCGCCGAGTACCTGGACTGGCTGCAGAGGAATGGAATCCGCCGGATGCTGGTTCCGCCGTACCACCCCGCTTCCAATGGTGCGGCCGAGCGAGTGGTCCAGACCATCAAGGACAAGCTCAAGAAGAGCCAGCCCGGGGATTTCCGAACGCAGGTGGCCCGGGTACTGTTCCAGTACCGGACCACACCGCATGAGGTCACTGGCCGTGCCCCCTGCGAGCTTCTGCTGGGCCGGATGGTCAAGACCCCCCTGGACGTCTTGCACCCAGACCTCCGGTCCTCGGCGCTCCTGAAGCAGCTGAAGCAGAAGCTGGCTGCTGACCGAGGGTGCCGTCCCGGGCCTTTGCCGGAGCCGGGAGCGTCGGTGTACGCCAGGAACTTCCGTCCTGGCCCACCCTGGTCTGCCGGGCGTGTGGTTTCACCAGCGAGTGCCTCATCGCTGCTCGTCCGCATGCCCGACGGGACCAACTGGCACCGGCACGCCGACCATGTCAGGCCTCGCCTCGGGACCTGGCTTCCACCCTCGGTCGTCGCTTCAGAGGACCAGCCTGCAGGGGGCCCAACAGCACCAGTCGTGGCCAGCGGAGCGCCACCCACACCGGAGGCGACAAGCGTCGCCACTCCTCAGGCACCAGTTGGACCGGTGCCACTTCCCAATCCGGTCCCTCCAGCTCCACCGGGTGGAGCGCGACCGGTACAGGCAGCGCCCGGCGTTGCCCCACCTGGCCCATCGACTCCAGTGCCCAGGCGGAGTACGCGGCAGCGAAGGCCACCTGACCGCTACTCGCCTGGGTGATCTTCGCCGTCGACCAGCCAGGACTTGGTACGAGCAGACGCCGAGTTGGTGTCGGCCGTGTGTGTTTTTTTCATGTATTTTGTTTTTAGGAAAAACAAACTGGGGGGGAGGAGTGTAACAAGTTAGTGGCGCCCCCCTCCAGTCCGCCCGTCTGCGGCCGCCTGGCTCGGCGGGCAACATTGTTCATCGCACGAATAAACGCCGTTGAGCGCACGCGCTCCGGTCAGTCATCGTCCACCCTCAACCAGGCTGCGTGTCGTCTCTCCTCGGCGGGTGCTTCGGCCCCCTTCGTCCACGTTCCAGAAAGGTCGTGACACCGCTCTCTTGGGTGTCAGTTTCTCGAGTCAACGTGTGAAAGTGTACTATGGGGACAACACACTGGCCATCTATCAGGAAGAGGTCACTGCAGAATATCGAGTGCATAGATTCCATCGAAACGTCCCGGCGGAATCACCAGAGTCGCTCGGCACGACGCCGGTGAACCTGACAAGCGGCTAGCTTCGACGAACGCGATAATCTGATTCTTTGTTAGTTTTTCGGTAGACATCGATGTGAAATTTCGGAGAAAATAAGTGCCGGTTTGCGCATCGTTATTCCCCATTGTTTGCTTGTTTTCGAACTGCTAACCACTGCCCTAGCTGAAACCCTGCAGTGTTTTGAAGCTTAACTACGCGACATGGACGAGCCACACCGACCGATTGCATGATTGGTATGGTACCAAGGAGGATAGAAGGGTAGGAGAGGGCATGACGCCAGCCGCGTAGCCACCACAAGCCATGCTCCCTTGACGCCTCGCCTCTTTCTCATTTTTCTCCTTACTCTCCTCACTTACCACGGTAACTTGACCAGATCACGTGACCGTAGCTAGCCTTCGTCTAGCCATGGGGTACTAGAATACACCACAGTCTAGCCTGCAAGGAGTCCTTCTACAATCAACCATCCATCTCACACGTGACATGTCACGCGCACCAATCGCCAGAGAGATCTACGGTCACGTTGGCCACAACATGCATCGTTTAAACTTTTTATGACTAGGCTTCACCAATATTGCAATGTGCCCTCTCCTAGTACTTCTAACGTCCTTGTATGGTACCGACCAGGAATTGCGGACATACGGTGCTGAGACGATGCGGTTGTCAGGGAGATGCGCATGCGCAAAATGGGGCAGCTCGTCGGGGCGCGCTGGACAGCGCTGCAGTACGCTGGACTGTAAACACGGTCGTTCGGGTGCTTCTGGGCGTGGCGTGACGTGGCGCAGTGGCCGACGAAAGTCGGTCTGCGCCGGCGCGCGCTTTGCGTTCGTCGACGTTGGAGTATGAACAGCCCTTAAAATGCTTAAAATTGTTTGAAGCGACTGTTAGCGCGGCGAACAGAAACGAAAAGCGGTGACCATACCCCAGCGTAGCACCCTTTTCTACACTTGTTTTACACCCTTCAAACATACAACGTCACCCTACTTTACAATTCGAAAGGTTGTGTTACTCGAAATAAGGGTGTAGGCGTACGACTCTAGAACACCCGTATTTACACCCTTAATGGTGTAAACTATGTGTGTGTTTATGCACACCGCGTGCATAAACACACACGCAAAAACCGCAGGATCATCCTTCTGAAACGGATAATTCGTTAAATCGAGCTTACAGGAGGTAGAAAGTCAAAACGACGTTCACGGTAATGTATAATCTCACGGAGCGGTGGAGAGGACAACGCCTTTGTCCGAACCATCGAAGGTATTGACACGTGAACCAATACCACCTATACTCGTTTTGACCCCGAAAACCGCAGTAAAAGAAACGTCCGGCTCCCCGGGGGGCATTCCTAATATCCCCCCTTTTATATGGCGAATTAAGATATACCTAGGTGCATTTTAGTTTGCATATGTGTTATCTCTTCTATCGAGACATACATGTTTCAGACGCCAAAAACGTCGCTCATTCCTCCGACAACCAAATCTCGTAAGAACTATACTTCGCGCAAAAAGCGCAAAACTTCCTGTTTTTTTTTTTTTTGTTTTTTCTAGGGGTGAAAACGAGCGTTTGCAACTCCAGCAAAACGAACGGCACCTAGCGTGGAAACACTCAATCGGCCGGAACAGGTCCATTCTCGATTTGTGCTCGTCTCTTGTGGCTTTCGTGATTACATGTTGGGTTCGCGCGATATAACATTTATTCCTGTGACTCTGTCCTGACCGTATAGTGTCAGCTTGTTACCCAGGTTGCTCTGCGCGCCACCTACGCGACCGCACGAACCAGAAGCGTTTATTCACGTTCGTCGGCACCATGGAAAGACAGTATAGGCAGTCCCCTCGTCGCTTCCACGAACAACGTCGAGCCTCTGGAAGCTCCCTTACCGCTCATTCACACTGAAGCGGATCCGCGTTCGCCAAGCGGTTGCGAACGCGGTTGTATAAAGATCCAGTACAATTGCACGCGCACTCGATGTCATCGAGTGCGCGTGCAATTGTACTGGATCTTTATACAACCGCGTTCGCAACCGCTTGGCGAACGCGGATCCGCTTCCAGTGTGAATGAGCGCGGAGTGGAGTGGAGGATAAAAAGCGGGGCAAACCATTTTGACTTCAATGCTTGCTTGCTGCTTCCACGGCGTTATGCGTTCAGCTGGCGCGTGGCACGGCACGACCTGTTTTAGACCGCTGTCTCTGGAGTGGCGAATAGAAACTAGGCATGACGTCATCATCAGTGGACCCCCACAAAGCGTCAAAAGCTCGACGAGAAACGCCACAAAGAGGCAGTCGCGTTCGTCTTGGCTGATTGGCCGACTAAAAGATAGTGGGTAGACCTCGAGGCAGCTTGGTTTGAAGTCTACTCGCTATCCTTCAATTCGAACCAATCAGAGGTCGGCGTTTTTCATACGTCACCGCAACACCTGCAAAAGAAGCAGACGAACTTGCGCTCCGCTCACTCCGTTTCACCTTATGTTGTGCCGCAGCGAAGGCTGGAGGTGCGAGCTCGTAGCGTTGATAGCTATCCTTAATGCACGAGCCGCGCGTGCTAAAAGCGCAAGCTATATAGTTGCTTCGAACGAAGCCTAGGCGGTTGTACGAGCCCTCGTGCAGCGAGTGCTCCAGTCAAGGCAGTCAAGGGTAACCGCTCGCGCTAGCACAGCATTTTCGGTGAGTCCATGCTAAGGTGAGACGAAGTATAGACCCAGGAGCTCCCGCTTGTAGCCTTTTCTGCGGTACATCATCATAAGGTGAAAGTATAGGGATGGCGTTTGGAAGAGGGGGGGGGGGGGGGGGGGGGGCAGCTTTGTGTCTTTTGGGTGGTGATATTGCGTGGACTGCCCTCATCCTCTCGCAGGAGTGCCTCAACATGTGCCTGCAAATGAACACTCGCCGGGAGTGCGGATGCCAATCCCGGCTACTTCCGAGCCTGCCCAAGAAGGGCCGGTGGCCCGAACCGACCCGCGTCTGCAAAAAACAAAGTTCGTAATAAGGCGATATCGAATCCATAGAGACAACGAGCGTCGTGACGATGCACTTTTGGCCCCGCGTGCTTGTCTCCAGCCAATATTATTAGGTTAGCTCAGCTATGAAATTGGTAATAGACGACGTTGGGCGTGCATCAGCAGTACCCTCCCACCCCTCTCCCCTCTCTCTCACCACGGTTTTACGCGCCGGACGGCTGCTATGGTAACTGCAGTGCAGTGAAAACGTACGTATTCTATGGAATACGTACGTTTTGAAGCCCGGCGTCTAGATGGCGTTTCAGTTCTGCTCCATGGAACACACAGTTATGGAACGAAAATCTAGATGGCTCTTCGAACGACGGGAGGGACGGGAGGCGAACAGAAGTGAGTGATGGGGTTGACCCCCTCCGCGGGAGTTCCACAACTGAAGTAATCTAGTAACGTTGGCTGGAGCGGGTCGTGAGCGTCGGCCATTTTCCCCATAGTAGAGTTGGTAGAGTGCCTCAATGTATGGCTGGCGGTTTTCCCAGAGTGAGGACAACTCTATCGTCTGCTGGCGGAGCCGCCGTCATGCCTCTCACCAAGGAGGTTAGAAGTACTAGGAGGGGGCACGTTGCAAGATTGGTGAAGCCTAGTCATAAAAAGTTTAAACGATTTTGTGCCCAGCGTGACCGCAAATCTCTCTGGCGATTGGTGCGCGTGACATGTCACGTGTGAGATGGATGGTTGATTGTAGAAGGACTCCTTGCAGGCTTGCGCGCGCTCCGTCCGGTAGGTTTTATCAGGTCGAAGTCTAGACTGTGGTGTATTCTAGTACCCCACAGCAAGACGAAGTCTAGCTACGGTCATGTGATGTGGTCACGTTGGCATGGTAAGAGAGGAGAGTAAGGAGGAAAATGAGAAAGAGACGAGGCGTCAAGGGAGCATGGCTTGTGGGGCTACGCGGCCGACGTCATGCCCTCTCCTACCCTTCTATTCTCCATGCCTCTCACTCATTTGTAGCCGTTTATGAGCCGTATACAGAGTGCCTCATTGTATGGCTGGCGGTCATTCCAGAGTGGGGACAACTCTGTCGTCTGCTAGCGGAGCCGTCATCTTGCCTCTTTCTCATATAGCAGTCTATGAGCCGTATATAGAGCGCCTGTATCGATGAATGGCGGTCATCCCAGAGTGGGGACAACTCCATCGTCTGCTAGCGGCAAGGGGGGGTAAAGGTGGGTGGGGAGGAGTGGCAAATCCTGTGCGCCGACATCCTGGGTCCCGAGTGAAAGATCGCGAAAGAGAGCGACAGAACACGAGAGAAAGAAACCAATGTTGCCAGCTGAAGGACGACAGTCGCAATGTAATCGCGAAGACTGAAAACTCATCAATATAGACAGTGATCATTTAACGTTGTAAACAAAATTATGAGCTACTCTAACGCTTATAAAAAGCAGTATACTCGTTACGCTGCATTAACTTTCCTTCTGTTGAAATCTCGAAAATCTGGTGGTTCCTCGGTTTCGTATTCCTGGGGCGCGGCCAGGCGCGGCCACCCGCGAAGTCGGTTATCTGGTTTAGTTTAGTTTTTACGGGAGGCCGTACATGTGCGCGCTATGCAAAAAGAAAGCTTCGAAAGGAACGCGAATATCTTTTCACCGGTAAGTTCGTGGATTGTTAAAGTTCATGACACCGCTCTGATGATATAATTATATTTGTGAAACCGTAGGCAGGTTGGTAACCATGTGTGGGACCCCGAGGGTCTGCCTGCAAGCTCCGCCGCTTGCGGCAGCCAGAATGCATGGGAAAATGGCGGACCCTTTCCTCTAGAGTTAGTATGTATGATCTCTATGGCTAGCGGAGACTCCATCTTACCTCCCATTCATTTCTAGCCGTCTATGAGCCGTATACAAAGTGCATACATGTATGGCTGGCGGTCCTCCCAGAGTGGGGACAACTCGGTCGTCTGCTAGCGGAGCCGCCATCTTGCCTCCCACTCATACGTAGCCATCTATGGTATATGGATGGCGCTCCTCCCAGAGTGTGGACAACTCTGTCGTCCGCTAGCGGAGCCGAATTCTTGCCTCTCGCTCATATCTAGCCGTCTATGAGCCATATACGGACAGATGGCGGTCCTCCCTGAGTGGGGACAACTCTGTCGTCTGCTAACGGAGACTCCATCTTGCCTTCCTTCATATGTAGCCGTCAATCAGCCGTATACAGAATGCATCAATCTATGGTTGGCGGTCCTCCCAGAGTGTGGACAACTCTGCCGTCTGCTAGCGGAGACTTCATCTTGCCACCCATTCATATGTAGCCGTCAATGAGCCGTATACCGAGTGCCTCAATCTATGGTTGGCGGTCCTCACACAGTGTGGACAACTCTGCCGTCTGCTAGCGGAGACTTCATCTTACCTCCCATTCATATGTAGCCGTTTATGAGCTGGCGGTCCTCCTATAATGGGGAAACTCTATCGTCTTCTAGCGGAGACTCCATATTGCCTCCCATTCATTTGCAGCCGTTTATGAGCTATATAGGGAGTGCCTCATTGTATGACTGGCGGTCCTCCCGGAGTGGGGACAACTCTGTCGTCTCCTAGCGGAGACTTCATCTTACCTCCCATTCATATGTAGCCGTTTATGAGCTATATATGAAGTGCCCCAATGTATGACTGGTGGTCCTCCTAGAGTGGGGACAACTCTATCATCTTCTAGCGGAGACTCCATCTTGCGTCCCATTCATTTGTGGCCGTTTATGAGCTGTTAAGGAAGTGCCTCAATGTATGACTGGCGGTCCTCCCAGAGTGGGGACAACTCTGTCGTCTGCTAGCGAAAACTCCATTGTTGTATTTTCGGAGGTGGCCGATGTTGGTAGTGAGGTGGTTGTCCGAGAGGTGCTGTCGGGTACCGGCGCAGGTCTGCATAAATGGCCTTGAATGCCGTTGGTGGCGATGTCTTGCCTTGTCAATGTCGGGAAAGGAGCGGCAGCCGCTGCTGCAACCGTCGTCGTGGCCGGGGAGTAGACGTCGGGCTCATCCCTCAAAGGGTGACCCGGTAACGGCGGGGGCCCGCGTCCGCGCGGGCCCCGCCGAGGGCGAGAAAGGACACCGCTGACTGCCGACTTGTTTATTCCGAATCCCAGGGCCAACTGTTCTAAAGCGATCCTAGCACGAGCTGAGCACGCGACGCTGCGTGTGGGGCACGCGCTTCTCTGGTTCAGAATTCAAGCCGTACGACCGCTCAACTCAGAATACTACATCCATCTTACCTCTCATTCATTTGTATCCATTTATAAGCTGTATATGGATGCCTCAATGTATGACTGGCGGTCCTCCTGGAGTGGGGACAACTCTATCGTCTTCTAGCGAAGACTTCATCTTGCCTCCCATTCATTTGTTGCCGTCTATGAGCTATATAGGAAGTGCCTCAATGTATGACTGGCGGTCCTCCCATAGTGGGCTGGAGACAACTCTATCGTCTGCTAGCGGAGACTCCATCTTGCCTCCCATTCATATGTAGCCGTCAATGAGCCGTATACAGAGTGCCTCAACGTATGGTTGGTGGACCTCCCAGAGTGTGGACAATGTAGTAATGCTCGTCGCCAAAAATGTAGTAATTAAAAATCGGTCACCCGTGAAAATAAAGAAGAGCAGGGCCTGCGTGGGCCTGCGTAAACGAGGGGTCTTACATGCCGAAGAGGTGAACGGCGGGCGCCGGCGGGGCCGGGCGCGGGAGCCCCGGACGGTTGAGAGACGGACGTCCGACGACGACGGTGGCTGGGTCGTAACTCTTTTATTTAACGGTCAACAACGTGGGGGTTGAGCGCCACGGGGACGCAACCCTGATAACACGGACAATGGTGTAACGGTGGCGCCATCTGGTTAGTGTGGCGAGAACTACTTAAATGAAAAAATTGAAATACTACACTTTCCTTTCCTTAAAAAAAAATAACTACCTATCCTTCCCTTTCTTAGGAAAAAAAAAAAATTGAATAGACTGTTTTCGAAAACCGACGCCAAACTGCAGGGCAGTTGGGAAGTATGGAAATGTACTGAAATGAAATGACATTTCTATGTCAAGAGACTGGAAAATGTGAAATTAATGAAAAGGAAAAGCACGTCGCAAAAGATTTGCGGAAAGCACACACTGGAAAAGGCTGCGCTGGGGCAGTAAGCTGGGTAAGAAAAAAAAATTCACTGAATGTTCACAAATATTTTGAACCCAGTCCAAAAGAGTTAATAAAATAGTCCTTCAGGACGTCTGGCAGCCGCCGACGACACTCTTGCGCGGAGGCGTCTGGACCCTGGGGCTCTGGTGGCTCCGGTCTGGGGAACGGCTTGGGCTGCGTTGTGATGGGTACCTCGGGAACGGGAGGGGGACTCCTAGCTGGAACAGGACCCTCCTGAGGGGAAGGGGGGGCCTCAGGACTCAGGCCAGAGTCAGGACGTTGACCCGCAGGATCTGGATTGGTGGTGTCCGGGCTAGCCGAAAAGTGACGCATCGAAAAGTGATGCCTCCAGTGGGCGGACGCGAACACGGTGGGAGGGTTGCTAGGCCCCCCACGGTCGAGTCGTGGCCACCGGGGTCGACTCTCGCATACACGGTCTAGATGACCTTGCTTCTGGCAGGAGAAGCAGCGACGGTGTGCGGCCGGACAAAACTTCCTCGGGTGGCAGGGGCCACCACAGAAACGGCACCGCTCCGGAAAATCATCGGGCGGCGCGACGGTGTAGATTGTTGCCGGGAGCTCGTAGTCCGGGAAGGTGATGCCTTGAATCCTTGTAGGACCAGGCCTTGCTTGCCGATGCTCGTAGTAGTCGCGGGCAGAGACCCGCCGGCCAGCAGGAAGGGCCAGTTGTCGATGATCCCGGTCACGCCTCGGTCGGCTTCGACACACATTTGCAAAATGTCCCTCACGGCCACACAAGAAGCATGTGGCTCCCGATGCTGGGCACTCATCTCGGGGGTGGCTTCGTCTGCCACAGAAAAAACAACCGTCGTCGCGAACGACACGACGCGCCCCGGGGGGAGGATCGCGTCGGCGCGCACGGAAGAACGGGCGGGAGGGAGCTCGCCATTGCCGGCGGTCGCGCTCTCGACGCGGCGGGAAAGGAGGAAAGGGCCGCTCGCGTCTCGACGAAGGAGGGGGAGGCTCGCGCCTCGGACGAGAGGAGCGAGATGGCTCGCGTGTTGACGGGGAAGGGGGAGGAGGAAGACGCTCACGCCGCGGGGAAGAAGATCCGCGGCGGCGGGGAGGCTGCCCGCCATGTTGAGCATCTCGGTCGCGACCGCGTCCATCTTGGATCCGCTCAACCACGTGCGGCGTGTTCGGACTTGCGTCTAACGACAAGCGTCGGAAGTGATCGCAATCACGAGACGTCCGCTCGAACTGCTGCGCTAACTGGACAGCACGCTCGAGGCTAGGTGCCTTAGTTCCGTCGGACTCTCTGATTAAACGATCTTGGACTTCCGCGCTACGGATTCCCGAGATAAACATTTCCGCGACGCGGCTCTCCAACGACTCTCCGTAGTCGCAAAACGATGCTAGGCGTCTAAGCGCCCCAAGATACTCGAGGACGGTCTCTTCTGGACCCTGGAACCTCATGGCGAACTTTCTACGCTCAACTACGACGTTTGGAGCGGAAGCGAAGTGGGTGTCCAAAACGGACAATAAACCCTGAAACTCATCTTGTGCCGCGTTGACGGCTGGACCCGCTAGGTTGAACGCATCGACGACGCGATTGCCTTCATCGCCGAGAAATGAAAATAAAATCGCCCTCTTGCGTTTCGGCGGAAAATCCTCGGCGTCGATCGCCTCGAGGTAGTTGAGGAAGCCGCGCTTCCAAGTCTGCCACGGCATTGACGGTTCGCCGGGCGTGGGGAGAAATTCGGCGGGAACGCGACCCTGCGCAGCCGCCATCTTGAAAAAGGCGGAAAAAGGCGCCGTTCCTTGTTAAAAAAAAATGCACGTCTCGTCTAGACGCGGGGTACGGCGGGGGTTCGAAATGCGGAGAAAAAAAAATTATCCCATCCTCGATCGCCAAAATGTAGTAATGCTCGTCGCCAAAAATGTAGTAATTAAAAATCGGTCACCCGTGAAAATAAAGAAGAGCAGGGCCTGCGTGGGCCTGCGTAAACGAGGGGTCTTACATGCCGAAGAGGTGAACGGCGGGCGCCGGCGGGGCCGGGCGCGGGAGCCCCGGACGGTTGAGAGACGGACGTCCGACGACGACGGTGGCTGGGTCGTAACTCTTTTATTTAACGGTCAACAACGTGGGGGTTGAGCGCCACGGAAACGCAACCCTGATAACACGGACAATGGTGTAACGGTGGCGCCATCTGGTTAGTGTGGCGAGAACTACTTAAATGAAAAAATTGAAATACTACAGACAACTCTGCCGTCTGCTAGCGGAGACTCCATCTTACCTCCCGCTCATTTGTAGCCATTTATGAGCTGTATAGAGATGCCTCAATGTATGACTGGCGGTCCTCCCAGAGTGGGGACAACTCTATCGTCTGCTAGCGGAGACTCCATCTTGCCTCCCATTCATATGAAGCCGTCAATGAGCCGTATACAGAGTGCCTCAACGTATGGTTGGTGGACCTCCCAGAGTGTGGACAACTCTGCCGTCTGCTAGCGGAGACTCCATCTTACCTCCCGTTCATTTGTAGCCGTTTATGAGCTGTATAGACATGCCTCAATGTATGACTGGCGGTCCTCCCAGAGTGGGGACAACTCTATCGTCTGCTAGCGGAGACTCCATCTTGCCTCCCATTCATATGTAGCCGTCAGTGAGCCGTATGCAGAGTGCCTCAATGTATGGTAGGCGGTCCTCCCAGAGTGTGGACAACTCTGCCGTCTGCTAGCGGAGACTCCATTTACCTCCCGTTCATTTGTAGCCGTTTATGAGCTGTATTGAGATGCCTCAATGTATGACTGGCGGTCCTCCCAGAGTGGGGACAACTCTGTCGTCTGCTAGCGGAGGCTTCAACCTACCTCTCATTCATTTGTAGCCATTTATGTGCTGTATAAGGATGCCTCAATGTATGACTGGCGGTCCTCCCAGACTGGGGACAACTCTATCGTCTGCTAGCGGAGACTCCATCTTACCTCCCATTCATTTATAGCCGTTTATGAGCTGTATACAGATGCCTCAATGTATGACTGGCGGTCCTCCCAGAGTGGGGACAACTTTATCGTCTTCTAGCGGAGACTCCATCTTGCCTCCCTTTCATTTGTAGACGTTAATGAGCTATATCGGAAGTGCCTCAATGTATGGCTGGCGGTCCTCCCAGAGTGGGGACAACACTATCGTCTGCTACGGAGACTCCATCTTACCTCCAATTCATTTTTAGCCGTTTATGAGCTGTATACAGATGCCTCAATGTATGACTGGCGGTCCTCCCAGAATGGGGACAACTCTATCGTCTTCTAGCGGAGACTCCATCTCGCCTCCCTTTCATTTGTAGACGTTAATGAGCTATATAGGAAGTGCCTCAATGTATGACTGGCGGTCCTCCCAGACTGGGGACAACTCTATCGTCTGCTACGGAGACTCCATCTTACCTCCCATTCATTTATAGCCGTTTATGAGCTGTATACAGATGCCTCAATGTATGACTGGCGGTCCTCCCAGAGTGAGGACAACTCTATCGTCTTCTAGCGGAGACTCCATCTTGCCTCCCTTTCATTTGTAGACGTTAATGAGCTATATAGGAAGTGCCTCAATGTATGACTGGCGGTCCTCCCAGAGTGGGGACAACTCTATCGTCTGCTAGCGGAGACTCCATCTTACCTCCAATTCATTTTTAGCCGTTTATGAGCTGTATACAGATGCCTCAATGTATGACTGGCGGTCCTCCCAGAATGGGGACAACTCTATCGTCTTCTAGCGGAGACTCCATCTTGCCTCCCTTTCATTTGTAGACGTTAATGAGCTATATAGGAAGTGCCTCAATGTATGACTGGCGGTCCTCCCAGACTGGGGACAACTCTATCGTCTGCTACGGAGACTCCATCTTACCTCCAATTCATTTATAGCCGTTTATGAGCTGTATACAGATGCCTCAATGTATGACTGGCGGTCCTCCCAGAGTGAGGACAACTCTATCGTCTTCTAGCGGAGACTCCATCTTGCCTCCCTTTCATTTGTAGACGTTAATGAGCTATATAGGAAGTGCCTCAATGTATGACTGGCGGTCCTCCCAGAGTGGGGACAACTCTATCGTCTGCTAGCGGAGACTCCATCTTACCTCCAATTCATTTTTAGCCGTTTATGAGCTGTATACAGATGCCTCAATGTATGACTGGCGGTCCTCCCAGAATGGGGACAACTCTATCGTCTTCTAGCGGAGACTCCATCTTGCCTCCCTTTCATTTGTAGACGTTAATGAGCTATATAGGAAGTGCCTCAATGTATGACTGGCGGTCCTCCCAGACTGGGGACAACTCTATCGTCTGCTACGGAGACTCCATCTTACCTCCCATTCATTTATAGCCGTTTATGAGCTGTATACAGATGCCTCAATGTATGACTGGCGGTCCTCCCAGAGTGAGGACAACTCTATCGTCTTCTAGCGGAGACTCCATCTTGCCTCCCTTTCATTTGTAGACGTTAATGAGCTATATAGGAAGTGCCTCAATGTATGACTGGCGGTCCTCCCAGAGTGGGGACAACTCTATCGTCTGCTAGCGGAGACTCCATCTTACCTCCAATTCATTTTTAGCCGTTTATGAGCTGTATACAGATGCCTCAATGTATGACTGGCGGTCCTCCCAGAGTGAGGACAACTCTATCGTCTTCTAGCGGAGACTCCATCTTGCCTCCCTTTCATTTGTAGACGTTAATGAGCTATATAGGAAGTGCCTCAATGTATGACTGGCGGTCCTCCCAGAGTGGGGACAACTCTATCGTCTGCTACGGAGACTCCATCTTACCTCCAATTCATTTTTAGCCGTTTATGAGCTGTATACAGATGCCTCAATGTATGACTGGCGGTCCTCCCAGAATGGGGACAACTCTATCGTCTTCTAGCGGAGACTCCATCTTGCCTCCCTTTCATTTGTAGACGTTAATGAGCTATATAGGAAGTGCCTCAATGTATGACTGGCGGTCCTCCCAGACTGGGGACAACTCTATCGTCTGCTACGGAGACTCCATCTTACCTCCCATTCATTTATAGCCGTTTATGAGCTGTATACAGATGCCTCAATGTATGACTGGCGGTCCTCCCAGAGTGAGGACAACTCTATCGTCTTCTAGCGGAGACTCCATCTTGCCTCCCTTTCATTTGTAGACGTTAATGAGCTATATAGGAAGTGCCTCAATGTATGACTGGCGGTCCTCCCAGAGTGGGGACAACTCTATCGTCTGCTAGCGGAGACTCCATCTTACCTCCCTTTTGAAAATTCTCATTTGTATGAGAAATTTCTGTGTCCAATAAACACATATGAATCATACAAGATATAAACGAACATATAAGAGCCATAAAAGAATCATATAAGAACTATTTGAGATATATAAGAACATAGAAGCACCATATAAGAAACTTGTGAGGAGTTTCCTATAAGTTACTTATATGGTTCTTATATTCCTAATATTGTTCTTATATAGTGCTTATGTGGTTCTTATATGTTCTTATATATCTTGTATGATTCATATGTGTTTATTGGACACAAGAAATTTCTTATACAAATTACTTTTTTCGCTAGGGCTCCCATTCATTTGTAGCTGTTTACGAGCCGTACACAGAGTGCCTCGATGCATGTCTGGCGGTCCTCCAAGAGTGGGGACACCTCTGTCGTCTCCTAGTGGAGACTCCATCTTACCTCCCATTCATTTGTAGCTGTTTATGAGCCGTATACAGAGTGCCTCAATGTATGGCTGGCGGTCCTCCCAGAGTGGTGACAACTCTGTCGTCTACTAGCGAGCCGCCATATTGCCTTCCACTCAAATGCAGCCGTTTATGAGTTGTTTATGCATCTATTGAGCAAAAATGAAACGGGATATTTTTTTTAGAATATGTACCGTGCACGACGTTCCGTCAAATATCATTGTTTGTTTTTGATACCGCGTCCAATGGTAATCCGGTAAAACACCGTACAGATGATCGCATTGGCGATGCTTCCTGGCGTTACCGAGTCGAGGAAGCCTAATAACTTCTTGCAACCTCAACAAGTATACTTCTTAATTCGGTATTTTCACGGGCACAAGCCAATTCGCCGGTGTCAGGTGTACTGTCGCGGCCGGTTATAACGAAGTCAACGGGAATCGGAAATCGCTTCGCTATATCCGCTATTTCGTTATAACCGACTTCGGTTATAACGAAGTGCAAAAAGGAATGAGAAACCGTAATCACTTCGCTGTAGCCGCTATTTCGTGATAACCGACTTTGGTTATAACGCAGTGCACAAGGAAATGGGAAATCGTAATCGCTTCGCTGTAGCCACTATTTTGTTATAACCGACTTCGGTCATAACGAAGTGCAAAAGGGAATGATAAATCGTACTCGCTTCGCTGTAGCCGCTATTTCGTTATAACCGACTTCGGTTATAATGAAGTGCAAAAGGGAATGGGAAATCGTGATCGCTTCACTGTGGCCGCTATTTCGTTATAACCGGCTTCGTTTATAATGAAGTGCAAAAGGGAATGGAAAATCGTGATCACTTCTCTATATCGGCTATTTCGTTATAACCGACTTCAGTTATAACGAAGTGCAAAAGGGAATGGGAAATCGTAATCGCTTCGCTGTAGCCGCTATTTAGTTATAACCGACTTCGGTTATAACGAAGTGCAAAAGGGAATGGGAAATTGTGATCGCTTCGCTGTAGCCGCTATTCCGTTATAACCGACTTCGGTTATAACGAAGTGCAAAAGGGAATGGGAAATGGTAATCGTTTCGCTGTAGCCGCTATTTCGTTATAACCGACTTCGGTTATAATGAAGTGCAAAATGGAATGGGAAATTGTGATCGCTTCACTGTAGCCACTATTTTTGTTATAACCGACTTCGGTTATAACGAAGTGCAAAAGGAAATGGGAAATTGTGATCGCTTCGCTGTAGCCGCTATTTCGTTATAACCGACTACGGTTATAACGAAATGCAAAAGGGAATGGGAAATCGTGATCGCTTCGCTGTAACCGCTGTTTCGTTATAACCGACTTCGGTTATAACGAAGTGGGAAAGGGAATGGGAAATCGTAATCGCTTCGCTGTAGCCACTACTTTGTTACAACCGACTTCGGTTATAACAAAGTGCAAA